GTGCTTATAACTTATGCTTAAACAGCTTATAGCTTATATGTCACGACCCAAACCCGGCCCTATGGGTTTAGCACCGTAACCGGCCAGTAATCCGAGATTACCGAAGGCCTGCAGAACAGTAATACAGTAAAACAGAGTACAGGGCCTGGCGGAAGCCAAAACAGTAAATAAACAATGCCCAATGAGCTGTGACAGTCTGTATGCCAAAAAGATTTTTCATGCATTTATACATAAACAGTACAGAACAGTATACACAATATTTACAATCATTCAGACTAGGGACTCGACCCTATATAACAGTACAGTAACACTCAGTCTATACAGAACAGTAAAACAGTACAGAAGGGGGAATTGTAAAAGACCCCTAAGCCTTAACAGATAGGCTCGGAACCTCGCAGTGAGGCACAAAGGCTGGCTTGACAAAACTGGAGTCTAACCCACGCTCCTAGCTCCGATCTGGTGGCTGAGCACCTACAAATATATATAAACAGTGAGCTAAAGCCCAGTGAATAACATAAAGCGTAAAGAGGTTTAGAATGAATGTCCTTACAGTAATGAAAACAGTTCAATTCAATCAGTATTTCAGTCGTTCAGTACAGTAAACAGTCATATGTGGTACATCCATTAGCATAACAGTAGGTCTTAAAAGACCGAACAATAATGATGGCCATCAGTCAGTAAACAGTAGTCGTTCCACGAGGGAACCGACAGAGATCTCTGTAACAGTAACAATACAGTAAACCGTAGGTACTAAGGATGCCACAATACAGTTCAGAAATAAGTTATGTCGTTGGCATATTAATAAGAATGTATTGACGAAATGCAAGAAAATGTTTGAGACAAAAGAAAAATAGGACATGTTTAACACTGCATGGAACTATGTGGTATTGTCATCGACTGAAGAGGAATACAATGATCACCTCGCAACGCTGCATAAGGATTTTAGTAACTATTCGGAGGCAATCAAGTATGTTACAGTGAGTTGGTTGAATCCGTATCAAGAAAAATTCATTGCGGTACATACAAAAGTTTATTTATTAGTGACATTTTCAAAATTTTGTTGCTAAAAACTATATTTTTGACTTTTCAGAACAACTTTTTATTGACTTTCCTCAAGACGATAAAAATTAGTTCCTAAATATCTTTTATTACAAAATTTTCACTTTTAGAGATCAGAATATTTGGTCTCTAAAACTCTTATATGCTGTAATGTACAAAAATACAAAATTTGCATGGTCATGTGGTCGCGTTGTGATTAATATGGTACGAAACTAAATTAAAGTTGATAATTTTGCATGCGATCCGGTTGTCATTAATGTTAAATTGTGTTTGGAAAAAGCCAAAGGGGGATGTCAGCTTTTGGTTTGTTTGGCCATTTCAAGGTCTGTCTTGGTAAAAGTCAAACAAACGGTTTCTCAAATGGTAAGCTCAGAAAATCCAAAGGCTAGGAAATGGTCTAAACTTTGTACCCGTTCAACAGTGTTGAATTCCAACCTCTATACATACACCACGTAACACTTCTCCATTTCAATTCACTCTACACTCTTCAAATCCTATAAACTCATCAATACCCAAATAAGCAACAAGAGATATTCATACTACCAACTTCTTTTTACCATTTAATAGTTGATAGATTTGCCTACAAGAAGACAATGGAGCTACCTTTAGTCTTGTAGTTCAAGAAGGGAGCTCAAATATGCAATCTTCTTAACAATTTCTTCAATTTCCAAACAATTCTACAAGTGAACTCAAGACTCTCACTTCCTCTCTCTCTAAATTCGGCTAGAACAAGAAGAAATGGCTGATGAAATGTTTTGATAAAGCATACACAAGGCTTCAAATATGAGTAAACAAAGGCCCCACTAGATGGCAAAAGTGTAATTACGTCAAACTCTTTAATTAGCTTATTTTAATCTAATTTAATCATACCCAATCAGTTTTCAGGTAAATACACCATAAAATCACATTAATTACGAGGGTCATGGAACATCAATCGGTTTCTTCGGCCGCCGATAAGGCCTTCAATTAGCAGTTTAAACATATAAGCATGAACAGATATTCATACAGTCAAACAGATAGAATGCAATTTAACTAACATATACTCAATCAATTCGGTTTCCAATTTCAGTCAGTCAGTTCAGTACTTTAATCAGTTCAATTATCAGTCAGTTATCAGTCATTATCAGTTCCGTTTAGCAGTAATCGGTGATTATCGGTAATCAATCGGTCATTAATCAGTAAACAGTATGGGGGTTGTTACATTATAACTATGAACATAAGCTGATTTCTGACTTATAAATTAAGCATCTCCTGCCCCACTCAAAGAATAAGCTGATTTCTGACTTTCAAAAAGCTATAAATTATAAGCTATAAGCTAAACCAAACACATCAAAATAGCTTAAATTAAGCTGAAAGCTGAAATAAACAGCTTTTAAGCTGCACCAAACAGGGCCTTTGTTGGGGGAGGAGTTGGCAAATTTGGAAGGTTGCCCTTGCTATGTGGCTGGTTGGTTTTTATTTCTATTTTCGTTTTGTTTCTTTGTTTTGGATTGGTATCTTGCGAATCTGTGAATTTAATGCTAGCAGATGATTGTGCTTCCTCATTGGTGCTAACCTAGTTGGGATTGTGGAGTGATAGTTATGAAATTTTTTGCACTTCCCTCATTTATTGATGTAAATTGATGCTTGTACTTGCTTATCCCATCAAAAAAGTTTCCCTTTTTCTTTGCTGATAAAAAAAAAAAAAAAAAAAGAGCTGGCACTTGTTAACTAAATCCTAAAAACTATTCCAAGTAAGTTGAATTATATATTTGAATCTTTGCAACAAACTCTTCTTAGTATTCCATTAACAAAAGGTAAATTACAGGCCAATTATATGTGATGGAGTTAAATACCTGTAAGTCATGTATATATATATATATATATTTTAATGTATCAATAAATCTTAAAATACTTATTTTGTTCCAAATACTTTTTGAAGATATGGATAGATAAAAAAAAAGAAAAAAAGAAGAAGTAAGCTTTCTTCAAGGAAAAAAAAATATCTTCCTCTTATCATGGGCCTTGGACCCATTAAGAATGTGGGACACTATGGTTCATTTAAAAGTTCTATTATATGGGCCAGTCAGTATAAGTGCGATCGAAAAAAAATTGAAATTTACTCATAATTGGGCTAGTCATCCAATTCTCTCAACCCATTAACTTCTTATTTCAGTCCATGTCCATATAATTTCCAAAGAAAATAATAAATAAATAAATAAATAAAATACAAAATGGAAAAAAGAAGAAGAAGAGGTTGGCCTCACATAATTTTCATAAATTACTATTTTTAAGTGTGATTATACATTGTTGAAATATTTCATAATTTCAAAAAGAATTTTTTGAATTTTTGAACAACTCAACCTTAACTCAAGTTTACCAATTTAAACTTGGGCTTGTCAATTTGAGTTGGGCTTGACCCGAATTAAATCGTGTCATGGAACTGTCCAAGCCCAATTCAAATTTTCGTACCGCAGGATTTAATAAAGCCAAATCAGACGGTGTAAAACTACTCGATCAAATAACTTCAGGTGATTTTACCAAAAGAAAAAGACAGAACTACATGCATGTAAGAGTTAGAGACAAAAAAAAAAAAAATAAATAAATAAATAAAAAAATCAATATATAGGGAGGATAAATGTGTTTATAGTAGGGTATGAATGAAAGATTGTAAGATATAAATGTTACTTGTATCTTCGTGTGTTGGTTATTTTTTTTTTCTAATCTCACTTACTTGTAGATCTCTCAAAGAAAAATAGTCATGTTAAGCTTCATTTCGCAACATGTTATTTTAATAATTTTTTAATTTTTAGTCTAAAATATGAAATAAAAAAAAATTAGTATGTTTTTAATTATTTTTTAATTTTTTACGAAAAGATGCGTAAAAAATAATGAGAAAATAGAAGAATCTTTGGTTGTGTTTGGTTTGACTTTCTAAAACTAATTCTATCCTTACATTCTAATACTTGTTTGGTTTAAATTTTTAAATCATGATTCCAAATCAATTTCAAAACACATTTTGAAACACATATTTGGTGAACCAGGTAGTTTTTGAATTTTTGATCTACTTGGTTGTCCTCCCGGATATATATATATATATATATATATTTCAATTGCCAATCGCCACCTGTTATTTGAAAAAAAAAAAAAAATATTTTGATATTTTTTAAATATAGAAATTATTTTTTTAAGACCAAAACGACAAATTATTTTTTTGAATTGAATTTTAAAAAGAGTTTAATTATGAGTTTTGAGTAGGATTTTTAATAGAGTTTTGAGTTATGTGTTTGATTATGAGTCACACGTTTTTCAATTAAATTTTAAAAACTCTTTTTAAAACTCATAATCAAATAACTTTTCTCATTTTATATGTCATATTAAAAATTCAAAACTCTTTTTAAAACTCATAACTAAACAAATTTTTTCTTTTCAAATTATAATTCCAAAACTCACAACTCAAAATACAATTCTATTCTCAAATCATAATTCTAAAATTCTATCAAACGCTAGTTTTGACTTTTTGGTATAATCTTTTAATTTTTGTAATAATTTTTTGACTTTAAACTAAAAGTGTTACATGTCAAACGAGACCTTAAATATTTTAAAAATTTTATCAAAATTTATATTAAATGTGGGACCACGTAGTCCTTGAAATTTTAGTATTTTTTAGAAAACAAAAATGCTTTATATCCCCACTAGGGGTTGACTCCCAGTGAGGTGGAGACCCGTAATTGAGCGAAAAAAAACTTTTTTTTTTTTTGGTTGTTAGCCAGTGGGGCGCGCCACTTTACTAGGGGTGCGACCCCCACGGGATATTTAGCAGGACTCTTTTAGAAAAATAACTTCAGGTGGGACCCACTAAGATTTTTTTTTTTTCATTCTTGGAGCCCACGTCTTTTTTTTCATTTTTTTTTTCTTATACAGATTAAGAACTGGATAATGATTGAAAAACTTGAAAGATTATTAGACTATAAATAGTTGAAAAACAAAGTAAAGTAAAGCAAAGCAACACTATTTTTTCTTCAATCTGACCTGGGCCAAATTGCAGTGTCTCTGTTTTTCTTCTTTTGTTTCCCAACGAAAAGGTTTGGGATCTTCTAATTTAATTTTTGCAAGAATCTTGTTGATTATTTTCCCAAACTAATTCAAGATTTTCCTTTTCTTGTATTCCTTCTGTTTTTTTTTTTTTTTTTTTTTTTTTTTTTTATTTTTGGGTGTTTTTATTTTTGATTGTTTGTAGTGTTGTGAGAAAACAAGTCAAACCCCCAAAGTTAAGGTCTTTGATTGATTTGATGATTTGAGTAGTAGGTTGTCTGATGTTTATTTTGTTCATTGATGTACTTGATTTTATCAAATTCTCTTTTACTCTGAACCCAGAAAATTTAGGGTCGAGGGTTGTGTAGATAAGCTGTTTTTGAGTTTTTAAAGTCAAGTTCTTTGATGGATTTAATGATTGTCAGATTTTTTTTCTTCTTTCTTTCTTATATTGTATCAAATTCTATTGAATTCTCAATCCAAGAATTTAGGGTTGAGGGTTGTGTAGATAAGCTGCTTTGGGGTTTTTTTTTTTAATTCCTTCCATTAGTTGGTGTATGTAAATTGGGAACAAGGGTATGAATTTGTTGAGCTGTGATTTCAGGTTAAATGGCAAAAAGTTTATTCAAGCAAGAGCATGATCTTGGTATGCAATTCTGTTTGTGCAATTGAGTTGTGCACTACTTCAAATTTTTCTTGCCTGTTTTACTGTCTTAAATTCTAGATTCATTTTTTTTCTTCTTCTTTCTTTTGGAAATGAAAACTGTGATGTCTCCTTTGTGCTCAGAAAAGAGACGTGCCGAGGCTGGCAGGATCAGGGAGAAATACCCAGATAGGATTCCGGTGAGAATTAAGCATTATGTCAAGAACCCAATTGTGTATCAATAAATTTGACCTATTTAGATTCTTGGGGATTTCAATATAATTCCGAATTTTGAGCCATGGTTTTAATTTTTTAGATGCCTCTAAATTGCATGTTCTTGATGAAAATTGCTATTGGTAATCCCATTTCAACTTCCATTACTCTAAATTCTGGGTGCATAGAGATTCAGACACATTAAATTTGGAGATCAAACAACTAAAAGAAGCAAAAATTATTTAATGTCTTGTATTTGATGCATGTGATCAAGGCAATCGGTGTTCTGTGCTAAGTTGAGATGCATTATAATCTATCGGTTAAAGTGATAAATGTTGTGGAAGTGAGTAATAGACATGATTTAGGTACTATGCTAGCAATATTTAAATCTTTGAACAACATTTACCGAGGAGCATTTGGTTGATATTATTTTGATGAGCTTGCCAAATGATTCAGCATTAAACATTATGTACTATTTGGTATTACGATGATAGAATCCTGCAGTGGTGGCAGCAATTTTTATAAGTTTACACTCATTCTATGTTCTATGCTAATATATGTTACCGGCTTTAATGGAGGAAGAAATTTCTAGTAGCTTCTTGTAATGTTGTGGATCTACTTATTTTTATAATAAAATAAAAATAATAATAAAAAGAAGAGAAAGTATTGTGTGGGGGTCTGCAGTTAATAGCCAAAATTCTATTCTGCTGGATCTAAAAAAGCCTATTAAATGGTTAATAGTAATACTTGTGACAATCAATATCTCATTTTACTGGATATTTGATTTGGGAGTAGAAATGATGAATATACCATTTTGTGAATGGAAAAGCATTGTTGTTGTGAGTGTATAAGATTCATTGTTCTCATTTTGAAGAGATATACAAACCATGTTGTATCTTTTAGATGAGTCGGCATGCCACTTATCCTTTTTATTAGTGTTACATTTGTATATGGAGGTGTAATGTATACATTTATCACATTGCGTCTCATTGTGTTATTCCTTTTGACTGCATTTTTGTGAGTGGAATCTTTTGAACTCTGGTGCAGTATCAAATAGGGCCTTAGTAACAGTTACCAATATGAAGCTTGATTCTAGAACGGAGAATTAGATAAACTTTGAAGAAAAAATTGAACTTAAACTTTTGACCCTCTGGAGGTTAAAGACCAAAGCACTATATGGATCACAACATGGTTGAGAATTTGACTTTGGATCCAATCTTCAGTTACTATGTAAGTTCCAATTAATGGAACTTGGAAGTTTATGGGAATTCAAGACCAGAGCCCTATCACTTACTGCCATCATGGTTCAGGAGTATGAGACCCGTATTGAACTGCTGATGGGGCTCCTCAAGCTCTATATGGAGTTTTCAATTATTTCTGGCAAATTGTCCCTTTAGTAGAAGAAACTGTTTCAGGTTTTTCGTTGGATAGTTTATCTCTTTCCAATTTTTATGGCCATGTTTTTGCATGCGTCAGATTTCAAAATTCCTCTGACGACTTTCTTCAACCAGCCTTTTTTCTGCAAGGGTTTCCTTAATGATTAGTTACGTTAGTTCTATTCAACAGATCAAGTTTTGTTTGGTTCTTTCTTTGTATAAATTTTCATATTATGTAAACCTGATTTTATGATTTGAAGGTGATCGTGGAAAAGGCAGAGAGAAGTGATATTCCCAACATTGATAAGAAGAAGTAAGTTTTGTTTCTGCACTAGTAACTGATTGATTCTGGATTCTCTGGATTTCCTCCCTGTTTACTTCTATCACTTTTTTCCCTTCTTTTTTGGATATTTCTTTCTTTTTATTTCCTTCCAAGATTTGATACAGCTCTATTTGTTAAACAACACTATCTGTTGAAAACATATCTGCGTTCTAGTCAGGGTTAATTAGTACACCTGCAGGTTCATTAGCGTTCTAGCTTTTAGACACCACATATTATGTGAGCTCAATAGGAGCCATTGTTTGATGCAGTGATAAAAGTTCAGGCTTCCAAGCATATGAGTAAACATGGGCTCAAGTCTAAGAGTATCCGCTTTGTACAAATTATATTATGCCAGTGGTTAGTCTATGCCTCCCAAGACCCTTGATTATTGTGGATCTTAGAGAATGGTATTATGTGAGCTCTATTTCAGCATATTATTGAAGGCACAGTCCACATAGCATGGATGCGTTATTATAATATTCCCAATGTCAGACAAAAAGTTTGTGGAATTCCGACAAAGAAGTTAGGTATCATGAATTTGGAAAGAACCTTTTTTTACTCTTGGAAAAAACGGAGTTCACTGAGTAATCCCACACATTTAGTTGGTTGGACTTTCTCTGGACTCAATTATGTGCCCAACTTGAATGTGGTATGCTACCTTTGTTCCTTCTGGAGACAAGACTTGGAGCCCAAGATGTCATGTGGTAAAAGAAATAGTTTAAGATGTTTTCATGAGAAATTATCTGTGAGCTAGAAGTCAAATATATGTATTTCACTCGAAGGTAAGGAAAACCATCCCATCTTGTCATGTTTCTTCACCTGAGAGCACCCACACAATAGCACTTCCTCAAAACAAAACAAAACAAGGTTCCTGAACCAACTTGCGCGCATGGTTGTATGTTAATTAGTTTGTGATTTTTCTTCTAACCTAAACGATGAAATTACAGGTACCTTGTCCCAGCTGACTTGACAGTAGGACAATTTGTGTACGTGATCCGCAAAAGGATCAAATTGAGTGCAGAGAAGGCGATTTTCATATTTGTGGACAACGTCCTGCCACCAACAGGTAATCCCTTTGCAATTTTGTCGATTTATGTTTCAATGTTTTAGTCTGGTCTGTTCTTTATTTTTGTTGTTTATTGCAGGATCAATCATGTCTTCTATATACGATGAGAAGAAAGATGAAGATGGTTTTCTATACGTCACTTATAGTGGAGAGAATACATTCGGGACCAGATTTTACTGTAGCCTTTGATAATTTGGCATTGCGGTTTTTTTCTCCTTCCTGCTATCACTGTTTTCACCATTGTCAACTCCATTGCCTCGAGTGATATTTTCGTTATTCCTCTTGTTTTATTTAAGATTTACTGGTGTATAGTTTGTGTATATATATATACATATAATAAGAAGGTAGATAATGTCAGACTCTCCCGGTACATGTTTTAATAAATATTTGCATTTGATGTCATTCTTGTCCTTTTGTTATAGTTTTAATCATAATTGAAAGCAATTTAGGTAATGGAGTGATGCTACCAAGAAATTCTTCTCTCATTCCATAGTTTTTGTTTTAACATTTCTGCTTTCATTTCATTTTCATTTTTATGCAAGTAAGGTCACCCTTAGACTAGCTGCATTGTGTGGGCCTACAATATATGGCAAACTAACTTGTTCAAGTTTGATTTGTTGAAAGTTTGTTTGAGATCGACTTAGTTATGTAAACAAGTTAAATTTAAATTTGAAACTTGTTTGTTTAATTTCAACTCAAGGTTGTTAAAATCGGGATCCTACGTTGAATCGTTGGGGGTGTTTATAGGATCGGATCGAGAATCGTAAGATCCTACCGAAAAGGACAGATTACATAATAATTTAATTTAAATAAATATTTCTTATAAAGTATACACAAAATGAGCCTATATTCTATTAAAAAAAAGTAAAGATATTATGAAAAATATAATACTCTATGTAAAATGTACATATAATATTATACAATAGAAAACTCGATGGCAAAAGTATTGTATTTCATCAAAAAAGAAGGTGAAGAAGAAGAAAAATTCTATAACAAAATATTTTACAATCTACAATAATGCATAAAAAGTGAAGAAAAAATATTTAACAAAGTTGGATACGAAAATATATTAAAAACTCAAAAGAATAACTTAACCGAATGATAAGGTTTGTCGTTAGCATCCCTGGTGGAGCGGATTCAAGTCACAAAAATAATCTCTCCAAAAATTGGGATAAAATTGCAATCATCTTACCCTCCTTAGACTCTGCTAAAACTAAGTTTGTTTTTCCGACTATTTAATTTTTTTAAATTACCGCAATATTTAAATATTTATTTTCTAGTTTGTTTTTCTTAGTCTATTTGATTCAATACTACTTAATTTTTATTGTTTATTTTGACCACATAAATTGGTATTTAGACAACAAACATAAAATTTACAATAAAATGTCATACAGCACAAAATAAGGCTTATAAATTGGATCGGATAGGATCGGATTCGGATCGGGATTCTACGATCCTATAAGATCCCACTACCAGGGTCGAAAGATCCTACCTATAAGGAGTTTTTTACACGATCCAGATCGATTGTACTTAAATAGATCGTAAGATCGTAGGATCGTAAGATCCGGATCGAGATTCTGATAACTATGTCTCAACTTGATAAATACACTAAAAATCAAATTATTTGAGCTTCGTTTGATTAAACTCGAGTTTGAGATTGGCTTCAGAGGTAAATAAATCAAGATTAAGCATATTTTAAAAATTAATAAGTTTTAAGGCAAATTTAAATAGTCATCTACTAAGCTTGAGTTGGCTCCTCTATGGTTTTGTTGACTATTGAATTCTTGGGTTGGGCTTCTTGTAATAGAAAAATCCTCCGTTAATATGCCGTTCTATTATTTATTTTTTCAACACATTGATGTTACGGCTTACAAGTTTACCAAAGGTTGAAGGGATTGCACAATTTTTAGTCATCTGATTAGCATATTATAACTTTTGAATTGCTCAAAGTTATATTGAATATTGATATAATCAGTTTTTTTTTTTTTCATTTTATTTTATTATATATATATATATATATATATAAAATTAAGCTTCTATTGGACAGGGTGTGTATTGATCTGGCTCATTTATTTTGAATTATTACAAAATTATTGGCATTGTATATTGATGGAGGTTATCTAGTAAAAGGGGAGTTGAACCTATTAAGGATGGCCACATTGAGTAATGTTTGAAAATACATTGTGAATAGCATAGTCAAATACTTGGTGGTTGTTAGCATAGTAGTATGTTATGTTAAAACTGGAACTTCAAACTTCTCTTTAAAATCATATGACTACACTCAAGTACTACAACCAAATGTTAATAATTTAAATATGATTAGTCTAAAATTGAAAGTAAATAATTACAAAATAAAAATTAAAAGATATCATTTTTCCTAAATCATATATATATATATATATATTTCAGGACATAAGATATTTTTATATTACAAATTTTAAAAATAAAAATAATTATAAATAATTCCATAAAACACCAAACAAAACCTATTGATTAGGGATGGCAATTTGAACCTGACCTGACGGGGATTGGACTTCCCTGACCCTGATTAGAACGGTTTTTTCTCGAAAAATACCCTTAACGAGGCCGGGATGGTATTTGAAAATAAATCCTCGACAATTTTCGAGCCAGGGACGGTGATACATTTTCCAGCCACGGCCCCGGCCCGTCCCGTCCTCGTCTTCGTCCCCGTTTCCCCCAAAACTGAAATTACATATATACCTGTATATCCATTCATATATATACCCCTATATCCACCATCAAACAATAGAATAAAAAACAAAGACAGAGAGAGAGAAAGAGGGAGAGAGAGAGAGCACCGAATCAGTGAGCAAAGACGAGCGGAGAAGACTGGCAAGGCAAGACTCTCTCTCTCTTTCTTTCTTTCTCTCTTTCTCTCTCTTTGCTCTACTCTCTCTCTTCTCTCTGTAGCGACGTAGTCACCGTCACCTCATCCTTCACGCCACTGCTACTGCCGCGATGCTAGAGTCGCCGAACCTCTATACTCCGGCGTCAGTTCCTTCCACCATGGCTATAGCGATCCCGGGTTTACCCTTGTTGTACAGTGATCCGGACATGTGTCCGTGGATGTTGGTAGTTGTTTATTATCTTGTTTGCATCATCTTTACTGGTATATTGAGTTATAGGATGTGTTGGACAGGTTTGTTTCAGGTTGGTTGTGTTTGGGAGCCTATAAAATTTTAAATTTAGATTCTTCCTTAAATTATGTTACCAAAATAAGATAAACATTCATTCTTTAATTTATGCATCTTTTATTAAATTATAAAATAAAATTTAAAATTTAATTTTTTAAAAAAATTATGTTACTACAATTAAAATGGGATCAATATTCACATGTGTCATAATATTATTGGTCTAAACATAATATGTTATTAAATACACATATTCAAATTTTTAATCATTATTAAAAGTTTTATATTTTTATTTTTTGTTATTTTTTATTTTAAATTTTCTATATATTTTTTATATCTTTCTAAACGAGAAGGATTTAAACAATAATTTTTTAATACAAATATTTTTTTAAACAAAAAAAAAATTAAAAAAATGAATGACTTTTTTAATAATTATCAAACGTAATGGATTCTATTAATTTTTTTAATCTCAATTGTCAATTAAACAAATTAAAATAATTTTTTTTTTTGCTTAAATAGTTAAGAAGTGATTTTACTAAAATCAAATAGGAGTAAACAAAATTTTCCCATTAAAAGTGATAGTTGGTGAAACTTATTTTTTTTATATAATAAAAAAATGAGAGTTATATGTGATAATTTATTATTCCAGCAATGCTACTGTTGGTTTTTTGGCTTTCGAAAGTTATTATTGTAATTGCGAGTGTGCCAGTAAGGATCAATCAGTACTTATAGAAAATTAATTGCCAACTAATTATCAGACGATTGTGTTTTAGTTCTTTCAGCCTCAATGAAGAGAACTTTTACTGGTGGTTTGATTTAGGAGAATTAAGCAAAATAACAATTAAACGAAGAATAGTTGAAGTATTTCATTAAAATGAAAAACTTACAATGATCCAAACTCAGCCTCGGGGTTTACAGCAACAATCTACTTGAAACTACTCCTATGAACGAAGTGTAGTGCAGGAATTTAAAGTACAGAAAATGTAGGACTAGAAACGTAAAAATGGAAAGGAAAATAAGTATAATAAGACTGATTTTTTGAATCTGAGTCCGGGGGTCTTTTTGTGGGCCTTCTTTGCTATTTATACTTCTCAAGGATGACCATCGAACTGCATTTCTAACCGTCGAATTGCTCCTCCATGATCGCTGATCATGTTGCCTTATAATTAGCTCCACTATGCTATCACTTGCAGTTAGGCTTCCCTCTTAAATTTGAATTTAAATGTGAGTAACCGTTGAAACTACATCATTTTGTATCTCTTTGTTGATCCACTACTACTCAGATCTCGTAATAACCAATACTAATTGCCACGTGTACGATCAGAATCGAAGACTTGAATAGTCTTCCTGTGTTATCCTTATTCTGCCACGCGTCGAATTGTAATTGGGTTGTACAAAATATGTAGCCAACAGCTACAGACCCATATTTTCACCCATAATGATGTGCCAAGGGAGTTAGGCCCCATGTCATTGAATGTATAGCAAATCAAGAGTTGACACATATGATACCACATCATTGTGGTTTTTTTTTTTTTTCCTTCAGTATCAAACATTTTCTTTATTGTTCATCTAGACTTTTTCAGCACTTGCAAAACATGGTGGAACCTGCTATTTATTTATTTTTATTTTTTTAAATCTCAATTGTCAATTAAACAAATTAAAATAAAAAAATGAATTTTTTTTGGCTCAAATTGCTAAAAAGTGACTTTTGGTAAAATAAATAGAAAAAAATGTTATTTTCCTAATAAAAGTGATGATTTGTGAAATATATTTTTTTTTATTTTTAAAAAAAGTGAGAGTTATAGGTGATAATTTATTGAACATCTAAAATTATTTTCATATCAAATGAGAATATCATTATCATTTTTTTGTTTATCTTTATTTTATTTTATTTTATTTTATTTATCCAAATGCTTTTATTTTGTAAGAAATTTAATTTTATTATATTTAATTTTTTTATTGTAATTTTTAAATTAAAAATAATTTTTGAAAAGTCATATGTAAATTATTTTATGGCATTATAAAATGTAATTTTTTTTAATATCAATTTATTCGATAATCCCTTTTTAAAAGGTGTATTTATTTTGTTCATTAATATTAAGATTTTAATTAATCCTATTTATCATTAAAAAATAATTAGCAAATAATTTTGTATATTTATATATACAATTTTGTTTCAACTGCTTTGATTATTTGGTGTCTCTACACATCTCCATTCAAATTTATTCGAATTTTTGAATTTTACATAAG